TTTTTGGCCTCTAGTTTACTCTCGCACTCCACGGCGTGGCAGTCCATCTGGAAGGTCAGATCGTCGTTGATTTGCCGGTAGATCCATGCGAACACGTTCGGGCTGACGTCGTGATCCGCCGTGCAGTACGCGATGCGAGCCACCTGGAAGGTGTCCATGGTGACCGTGGCCTCGCCCCGCCCATCCAGGTGATGCAGTCGTACCTGGAACGGCCGGATTTCCAGTATGGTGTTAGTAGAAGTGATGGAGTCGTCGTGGGTGACAGACGTCTGCTTTGTGTCCCATAATCCCACCACAGCTGACTCGGTGCAGCCGGACAGGAAATGAGTGCCGGAAATCGTCACTTTGCCAAGGTAGGTCACCTAGTAAAAGGGAAACACACAAAAGAAAAAGTGAAACAATGATTTGTGTACAGATTCAGACAAATGCCCACATGCACAAAGAAAGCTTCTCACACTTTAGTTTGGGGACCAATTCTCACTGTTAAAAAGGTTTTCAGTGTGTCAGGAAAGGCTATCCAAAACGTGTGATTGAGAAGCTGCAGAATTAAAGAAAATATCTCTAAAAAGAGAGAAAAAAAGTTGCGTTAAAAAAAAATGGACAACTGAAATATGTAATATGTCCATCATGAAATGTCAATAGTGTAGCAATGTATGAAGCACAGCTCACACAGAAGCCACTTTCAAACCAAGCAGCTTTCTCTTGGCAAGTGTGAAAATTCATGTGAGCAACCGTTTCCTCCTCACGAAACTTCCAGTCTTGTGGATTACTATCAGAATGACTGGATTTCGTGAACAAGGGTAAATGTGACCTGACCTATAGCCCTGCATGAGTTAAAGGGACAGTTCACCCAAAAATGAAACGCTAAGTCTCTGTCTTCTATTCAACATAAAAGAAGATAATCTGAGGAATGTTGCTTATCAAACAGCTGCCGGTAGCCACTGACTTACATAATATTTTTTTCTATACTATGAAGTCAATGGCTACCGCAACTGTTTGTTTACCAACATATCTTCTTTTGTGCTCAACAGAAAAAGAAACTCATACAGGTTTAGAACAACATGAGGATGAGTAAATGATGACAGAATTTCATTTTAGGGAGAACTATCCCTTTAAAATACCGATGCATCTGGAACGTCTCAAATGAGAGTGACTCCTGGTTAACATGTATTAAAAGGGGTCGTGTTTAGTCACTATTTATTTAGTGTGGTATTTTTTGACAATATTCACTCATCATGATAGTAAAATAGGGCATTCTAAGTCAATATACTGCAGTATTTCCTCTCTCAAAGCAGTAGAAAATATGGTTAACACCCGGTCATGCATAAAAAAAAAAATACCGTCATGTACCGTGAAACCGGTATAATTTTGAAAAATACCGTGATATAAATTTTTGGTCATACCGCCCAACACTACTGTTAACTAACTACCACTTTTGCCTCAATAATCTGCTAATTTGCTGCTTAGTAATAGTAAGTAAGGTAGTTGTTAAGTTTTGGTATGATTAAGGGATCTAAAGAATAAGGCTTTGGAAGTACTAATAAACAGCCAATAATCTAGTAATATGCATGATAATAAGCAACTAGTTAATAGTGAGAATTGGTTCCCTAAACTAAAATGTTACCAAATATTTATTTGTTTTAATTCAATATTCTGAAAACAATGTACATTTCAGCTTTACTGATTACTGAACATGTTCATATATTTTGTTATACTGAGAATATGTTTACCGGTTTTGTTTTGTCTATCATTTTTTAAATTATTGTAAATGTTATATTTTTGCTAGTATTTATTTTCACATATTTATATAGACAAACAGTATGGATATGACAGAAGTACATTTACATAAGCATTTTCAGCTAACATTTTAAATTGTAATTTATTCCTGTGATCAAAAATAAATTTTCTGAGAATTGTCATTACTCCGGTCTTCAATGTCACATTTTTTTAAAAATAATAATAAAGATTTTACACACATTCAAGGTTTAAAGAAAACATTTTGTGACTTGTTACTTGATGTTACGCTACTTCACATGTTCTACAATCATAACTTTTGGTTGAAAATGGTGTACAAAAAACTAAACAAAAAACAAGAATACATAAAAGTCATTTCCATTAATGTTTATTTTATACTAAGTTTTTTTGTCCTTTCATCATTCTTATGTATCATTGGTCCAGAGCTGTAGAGATATGCTGTGGATTTCAGAGAAAATGAGTAGTTGTGGATACCTGCTCTTGTTGTGTTTGAATGTGTGCTTTTGGCAAAGTTTGGAAAGAAAATGTGAAACTACAGAAGAAAAAAACTCTGTCTGGCTGTCTGTTTTCCTCTTCCAGACGATTTGTTTAGTCTGCAACCACAAGGCCTAATTCTGGCCACGGTCTCTCCTTCCCATTTCTTTAACTCGTTTAGAGAACACAAATAAACAAAATAGTTTTTTATTGCTTTACAAACTGTACAAACTCTGAAGACAAGCAAGGGGTCGAACATCTGTGCTATGAATATGTTTACCGGTTTTGTTTTGTTTTGTCTATCATTTTTTAAATTATTGTAAATGTTATATTTTTGCTAGTATTTATTTTCACATATTTATATAGACAAACAGTATGGATATGACAGAAGTACATTTACATAAGCATTTTCAGCTCCGTAATCATTTGTAAATTAGCTACTTTTTTTAACTAAAATAAATCACAGTAGCTATTTTTGGAATTGCAATAATAATGCAAAAAAGTAAAACAACATCTGTGCTATACTTGCTAAGAGAATTTCATAGCAGAATGCAAAGTCATCCCTCTTATGAACACGACTCTCTCCAGATGCGTTTTGTTTTTCTTAATCTCATTCTTTCTCTTGTGTCTGAACAGAAAGATGAGGCTTTCCTGCGTGCCGGGAGAGGAAATGCCAGTAATATCTCTTCTCTTCTGAAAGTCATCTACATCAGAGAGAATGAGAGCGAGAGGATGAGTGTTCTCTTCTGGAAGAAGTGCTGGAAAACATTTGACCTGAAAGAAGCCCCTCACTACACTATGACTAACAGATGAGGCAGTGAGCGAGCATGTGCGTTTCCTAACATCTGATGGATAACATTAAGCCTTATTATCATAAATCAACACAATCGCCACAACAAGAAAAAATGCGAGAAGTATTATTATTTAAAAATGCTAACTACTGTTCATACGTTTGGGGTCTGTAAGAAATGAATCCTTTTATTCAGCAAGGACGCACTGAAATTGATCAGAAGTGACAGAAAAGACATTTATAATCTTACAAAACAATTCTATTTTAAAGAAATGCTGTTCTTTTGAACTTTCTATTCATCAAAAAATCCTGGAAAAATGTTTCCACAAAAATATGAAGCAGCACATCTGTTTTCAACATTGATAATAATCGGAAATGTTTCTTGAGCAGCAAATCAGCATGTTAAAGTGATTTCTGAAAGATCACGTGACACTGAAGACTGGAGTAATGGTGCTGAAAATACAACTTTGATCACAGGAATAAATTACATTTTACAGGATATTCAAATAGAAAACAGCTATTTTAAATTGTAATACTATTTTACATTTTTTACAGTTTTTTAAATTTAATAAATGCAGCCATGGTGAGATTTAAAAAATATATATATATTTTTAAAAATCTTACCAACCACAAACTTCTGAACAGTAGTGTATATTAAACACACACACATAAAAATGCACAAAAGTTTTGTCCAGCAAAATTATTTGCCCCAAAATGGCTCCAAATTCCCCCTCAAAAATCTAATTCAAAAATATGAAGTGAAAACACAAAGTTTAACAGATCAGATAACAAATATTTAAATGTAAAGCAACTATATTTGACAAAAGATTTTGAAGAAATATTTTTTTCTTTTCTTTGGAATAATTCACCAATGAACTGTTCACAGTAAGACCACTAAGTAGAATTTTTTATTAAATAAAACCAAAATCAAATCAAAATGATGAACTTTTCAAAACTACATTATTCCTGATCCTCACTCTTTCGTCAAGTCATCCCTCATGTATTTGATGTTTATTTCCCTCAGTGGCGAGATGACAGATTACAGTCTTTCTGAGAAAGTGTGTGTTTGTTCACATGAACCTCATGATATCTGTTCCTGAGTGTGTGTGTGTGTGTGTGTGTGTGTGTACCTCAGGTGGAAACTGTGAGAAATCATCAAACACTGAGACAGATTGATGCCTCTCAGTCACCACAGAGTCTAGACAGCAACAGAGCGCTCATTCATCTCTCTGTTCTCTTACCTCCACAGGCAACTGAGAGGCTTCCAACAATAAAGCTGCTCTTCCAGATCTCTGATGCACAAAGTGAGTGAGCACAAATATTGTGCAATTCATTAATCTGTCATTAATACGGCTTCCTATGATTGTAAATCATCTAAACTTACTTGTAAAACAAGATGTAGTATTTCCACACAGTGCAAGCACATACACACACCTACACAAAGTACATGGAGAAACAATGTTGTTTATGCAACACTCTTATACAGCATGTGGTCACAATTACTCACTATGTGTGATTCATTTTATACCAAGGGCTGGGTGTTGTAGCCAAAAATATCTGCATCACAATTTTTTCCAGCCTTTTGGTAAAAATTCTTGTGGTTTATGTATTTATTATGATTTTTTTTTTCAGAGGAACTACTGTTTCAAACTGAGATCTAAATATATATACAAAGCAATATTTATCTACATGGTTTTTATGATGCTGCAATTTTGTGTGCAAATTTTAAAATTGTAATTATTTTTTTAAAATATTATATTTACAGTAGTATTTTCAGATTTACAGACAAATAAACAGTTAAATCACAAAAAGGAGCATCTCCTTCATTTACATTCAATTTTGCAATTAACCACAACACAAAGTACAGGCGAGGGAGGTCAAGACAAATTTGTGCCAAGTTTGGCATCTTAAACTCGTTCATAAAATTTAAAAAATAAATACAATTAATTGTACTGAATGGTCTGGCTGTCTGAAGTAAAATCCAATACAGTACTTTCAAACAGCTTAACAACAAAAATAAAAATTAAGTACAATTAAAATAATACATATAACTGTATAAAATTACATTTATGCCTTGAATAAAAAAAATGTTCTTATGAAATCCAAGGTTATAAACTCTCTTTGGGAAATTTAATGGCTACATAAAAAGTACATTAAAATCAAGACGCATTAACAATGTTGCAAATATATTTAATACATCACCCAGCCCTACTTTGTGTCTACCAGTTAATTAACAGCATATATAAATCAGTCAAAAAACAACAAATATTTCCAGTACACACTCCTGAAACTCTACAGGTTGCTCTGCTCGTGACTCATGTGTCCAGCAGGTGGCAGCGTGAC